GCACGGATTGCTGTTCTCCGTTGCGGATGATGGCGTGTCCGCCCCATCATCCGCAACGGACAAGACTATAAACAAGTGCGTAGGTTGGCCATGGACCTGCCTGAATCCAGCTGCTCGCGTAAACAGGCATTGCGTAGAACTTGCACCATCCCACTACCTCTGCGTGGGAGCCTAAGCATGGCGCATCCAGAAATGAAGCTAATGGGCGCTAAACCAACTACTGCTTGTTCCTATTCCACGAAGGGATGCATTCCTGGATATCCGAATACGCCAACTTGAAACGGTACACAGAAAACGGGTTCGAGTAGCTCGGAATGCTCTTCAGAAAATCCCCAACGCTATTATCTCATGAATCCCGAAACTTCAGAAACAGTTTGAGTGGTTTTTGGAAAGAGGAAATCTTCTGATATTCGACACTGGTTTTGGATTTGCAAACAGTTGAGTTTTTAGAAAATTATCTTCGTTCAAACCAGGACAGTTTGCATCCAATTTCGAAAATCCCCAACTAATCCCCAATGCTGAATTTCTCTCTAAATTTGGCAACCTTTATGAACATTTCAGTACTTTTCGGGGAGCTCAAATCTTTTTCTTAGCGATTGCGTTTTCCTCTTTCCCAACGGTCTGCCTTTAAGAAGTTATAACCCTTCAAAGACAAGTTGTTTCACTTAAGGGGTCTAGGAAAACGCGCCCCAACGCAATCAAAGCGCGGACGCGTGCGCGTATTCGGTATTCAAATGGCATGGCTGCCAGTTCCTCCCGCGCGCGAATTTGAACACAACAGTCTGTAGGTTGGAGCACAGCATCCTGTGCGGTGTAGATCCACACAGCCATTCTCTCTACCAGGAGTTTCCGAAAAGAATTGAGGATCCCTAACTCGCTCAGTTAACACGGCAGTGGTAGAAAATAGTAAATAATCGTTATAAATTTCGTAAGACCCACCTGTTTGAAAGGTGCGGTCGCGATCAGGTATAGAAGTTGAAAATATGGCATCGGAAGGGTAGTGCGGCCCACGACGAACAACCTTTGTACCGTTTCGCGGCGAAAATTGTGGGGCAGGGGCGCTGCTATACAAAATAAGCTCAGCGACGCCTCCTTTTTCCAGTGACTCCGCCTCCAGACCCTGCCTTCAAGGCTCGTCTTTCAGTGAAAAACGAAGCTGCAGGACGAAAAAGCATGAAAATCGTCACTTGTACGGTCGTAGAGTTCTTATCGGGGAATCAGCTGTGCGGATGAGGGCGTAGTGTTGGAGATGGAGTTATTGGGCACGTACAAACTGGGATCGGAATGGGGTTCTATCTAGGACATTCGGCATATTTTTCTCTGCTTTTTTCACTATTAAATTCCTCAGCACCTTGCCGTCAATGTGCAAAAACCTAATCAATTATCTGTGATGGCGAATGATAGCGGAATTTGCCTTTAAATCGGGGGCCTTATGGCTTTCCATGTTAGTTGAAGTAACACATGTATTAGAACACCGGAGTTCATCCAAACTAAATTCCTGTAAATAGAGGGAGCAATTTTGCTGGGATCCTGTCTTGTGAACCTACGGAATGTTTGGAGTTTCACTCGTACAGAAATTCTTTGGCTGGGTGACGTTCAGTGCTGGAAGGTGCTCAGAAGCCAGGGGAATTTTAGCTTGGCACTGGTTTTCTTCCACGTAGGTGTTGGAAGAAAATGCAAATAAAAAGGCGAAAAAACAACAAACCTCAGAAGGGGGGGGGTCGTATCGATCCACCGTTTAGGGGGGGTCGTACGGACTTGACCAAAATCCCAACCAATGACGTGCCCTGCCAACGAATCCCAATGTTGTATATCTCTTCAACTCGGACATCTTCAATGAACACTTCACTACTTTTCGGGAAAGCCCAGATATAACTCTTTACAGGTGTTGTAGCTGTTTTAGTGGTTACAGCCGAAGAGCAACAGTAGGCGAAGGGGTTTATTGCAGAAGACACAAGAAGAATGAACTTCACCTACACAAAACTGACAACAGACTACAATGTAAACAATGAGCGGGATATGGCAGTGATAATCCCTATATACATCAGATGCCGAAACATTCAGTTCAGTTTATACATTGTGAAGTCCTACAAGAACAAGGACGTTTTTCCTTCACCCAAGGTCTTCCTTCAAGGAACTTGTAGCTCTTTGAACACAAGTTGCTTTACTTGACGAGGTCTCGGCAAATCAACGCAATCAAAGGCAGCTGGCACGATAAGTCCCTAAGATGTGTAGCACTAATACGCCTAGCAGGACGGAATTCCACGCCCCTAAGCCTTTCCCAAGGAAAGTGCCTTTGAAAGGCCCTATCAAGCTGCAACATACCGACCCGGAACGCCCCGCGCCCGCCCGCCCACAAATGGACGACCGTACCTGATGCTCGTATTGCTTCATTTGCGAAGTAAAATATGAAGCGAAGGGATTGATATGAAGCGGCCGCGTGCTGCATGGATATATGTACATACGTGCAGCCGTATCTACCGTAGCGGTTATTGGCAAGATGCCTACGGGAAACTCGTCCGAAATTGCTTTTGAGTCATTAAGAACGAAAGCTTTTTTCGCAAGCTTTACTCCGTTTTTTTTGCCATTTTTCCTGCTATCTAGCACGCTGCTAGCATTTTAGACCAAATACCAAATTACCGTGCCCAATGCCTTCAGAAGACAAAGGCGCGCTTATTCAGGCTCGGCTTGATTTGTTTTCCGCACTCGCGAATTTGAACACAACAGTGTGTGGGTTGAAGCACAACATTTCGTGCACTGTAGCTCCACACACTCTCTCCTACTAGTAGTACCCAAAACAGTGTCCCAAAAGCGTAGAGGCTTTCTAAGTAACTTACTTAACACAGCAGTGGTAGGAAAAAAAAGAGTTAATAACCGTTATAGATTCCGTAATTTTGATTTGCTAGAAGTCTGGGCCGTATAGTTTCCATAAGAGCTGAGATAACACGTATTTCAGAACACCGATGACTTTCATCTAAGTTGAACTCCTCTTGTAAGCAAAGGGAGCAGTTTTGCTGGAATCCTGTCCTATGAACATGTTAAGCATTTCGAGTTTCATTCGTACATAGTTCCTTTAGTCGGATAGCGCCAAGTGCTGCAACGTGCTAAGAAGCCAGGGGAAATTCTCAAACTAGCATTAGTTCTCTTTCATGTATGTTTCGGAAAAAATGCAAATGAAACCGATAAAGAACAAAAACTGCAGAAATGGAAAGGATCGTACCGAGCTCCCTTTCTTTTTTTTTTGGGGGGAGGGGGAGGAGCGGGGGTCCCAACGACTAAAAATCTGTGTTGTTTCGCTGTTCGTTTTGCGGCGAGAATCTTTGCTAAACTAACAAAAGGTAGCTGCTATCAAGGTAAGCGCGAGTAGCCTGAAAGCACGCGTTGTCAGCTAACAGGTGAATCAAGGTGTAAAATAAAAGTTAAAACTTTGGTTTAAAATAAATTTATGGATATTGCAATCATACAGAATTAAACGGCCAATATTATTATGCGCAAGGGCTATCGTCACCGAGTAACACATCAATGGCGGAAGGCAAGCTAGGTTGGCTACGTGAGAGAGTTAAAATGAGAATTACATAAATGGATGCTCTGTGCTCGGGATGCTTAATGCTCTAAACCACCCCCCCCATGCTTTAGAGAACCGACTTGCTCTGAGAAAATGAGGAAAAGTGGCTGTGAAGCCCTCACTCACCCCATTTATTATATCCAGCTCTCGGGTAGCTCGGGTTATCGAACCTCTGATCCCTTTAAGAATGCGTGAGAGGCGTTATACAGCCATCAACATTCCCAGTGTACAGATGATACACTGCTTCTGCTGTCACGCTCTAGTCATCTCTGTGGCTCTCCCCGGGGCCCTTGGATGCCTGAGGATCCATATGTTGAACCTGGACTATAATAGTCTCCAAATGTTGCGAGCTCTTGCTGGATCTCTTAAGTTCCTCATATGTAATTATAGGCGATGCGTTCCGGAAGAGTGAGCTTTACCGTGTCTCTTTGAAAAGCAGTACATACACTTTCTTCTAAGTTTGTTGCTCTGCTCTGTGTCGTGGCGACATTGTACATCGCGTTCGATTTCTTCTCACTTCCATGCTGGCGAAACGCGGCACTATCGGAATAATGAAGGATATCAGAGCATACCTCTGACATCCTTCATTCTTCACCAAACAGATTGAGCAAGAGAATGAGAAACTCAGAAAGCGTTCTTCTGGTCTCATCATGAGCAAGAGAATGAGAAACTCAGAAAGCGTTCTTCTGGTCTCATCACATTAATTTTACGGATTTTTCTTTCGGGTACGCCTTGGTTAATTTTGAGGTATGCTCCGGTATCCTCCAATCGCTCTTCCAACTTGATTCTTTCAGAAAGTCCGGGGTGTTTCGCCTGTCGTTTTTTCGGTGTCTTTATCCCGCTTCCACGATTTTGGCTTCCTATAAGTCTCGTTCGTTTCGACTTCAAAGTCATAATCCTGCATCAAGTCCAAAAGATCTTCTTGCGGCTCCTCAGCTGCTGGGGCTTTCCGGACCTTCTCTTCACTGTGCATCGGAGATGACGGCTCAGTATCGTTGTTGTTATGCTCTGAAGCCGGTGTGCTGCTGGTCCGGAGAGGAGTTCCCATGCTGTTGGTCCTGGTACGAGGTCTCTTCTCGTGTGATCTTTGCTCAAAGTGTCGATCCTTTCGGCCATGCTCTGTATGCTTTCGTTCTGGCTGTCGATTTATTGCCGAAGATCCATGCTTTTTTCCTCTAGCTCTTTGCCCAAGGTCTGTGAATTTTTGTCCCAGCTCTCCCTTCAGATCCGAAAGAAGCTCTTTCACGTTTTCGAATGCGCTGACGCGCTGCTCTCTTTCCTAGTGGTTTTGTGCTTCCCGAGTCGCTCTTTCTATCCGATGGTTGAACTCCTCGAAAAACTCGATTTCTTTCATGAACTCAGCGAAGGGCGCGGGTTCTATGCAAATTCCTTGCTCGTCCTTCCCGTAAAGTTGAGCTTGAAAGTCGGGGAGAGCTATATCTGAGAGAAACAGGACCTCATACACCCCGTGTGTCATCGATAACGCTTTAGCAGCGCTGCGAATCCTTTCTGCTGTGTGACATGCGTCCAGGTATAGGTTTTCTAGACGACTTTTATAAAGCGTCGTCTGCCAAACCCGTTAGAAAGAGCATAGGATTTTACAATTACGACAATCAGTTTCGCAAATCAACGTATCTTCTTCTGAATGTCGTTTTCTGAAGGAAACATCGGAGCTCGTTGGAAGCGTCGGAGCTAGTCTCACGCAGGAACTTTATATCCTATTTCTCGATCAGACTTCCGTTCTTCAGCGTGTCGCTTTCTGGTAAACTCGTCATTGGCGGATCATGACATTGTTCTAAAATGAGCTATACTAAGTAATGGAAGATACCGCACTGCTAATAATCTATTTGTAACCGTAAATCCATAGAGTTTCTTCTGCTGTCTTTTCTTCTTTTCGGAAACAAAATGCTCTCAGTAGAATGCGCAGAAGCAGTATGCATGCAAATTTGAGTTCTTATACGTCTCATGCACCATGCGATCTGTTTGCAGCATGCTGACGAGAGATAGAAATAGCTTAGAAGAAGAGCTCCTGCAACAGCAGCAATGGTCAGTACTGAAGACTTGTACAAGGTAAATGTCCAGCATGTAGCTGATATCTGGCCAAGAGATTTGGGAGAAAATTGAGCGAGAATTCCTGGTATGACTTTGCTGAAAATACTGCATGAATCCTTCCTGGAAGTTATGCACATACTTCGGTATGCCAGTGAGTTCAAAATGGTTTGATTTATGCCCACATCGCACCGAACACTGAACATGAACTCGGGCTAACTCGAAGAAAAGTCTAAATGCGATTTTGTGCCTGTTGGAGAACGGGAACGGTCGAGCTGTCTCTGCCCACTCAATTCAGCTGAAGTGTTGCCCGAAGTATATTTGCACGTCACTATGGCTTGTGCTCCTCTGCAGCATTGATAACCTGTGAGGTAAGTAGTCTCGATACTGCAGCTATCGTCTTTGATTTCAGTAATTGAGTCGCTGACGGCTTCTCTCATTTTTGAGATAATCTCCGCAGATATATCATGATCCAGCTTCTGTGATATGGATGCTCTGAAAAAATGCATTTGTAGACGAATGAGTGGTAGTACATTTCTATGCTCATGAAGGTTTTCTCGGTGTCGTCTTCTTCACACCTACACATGACTTGAGATTCAGCCGGTGTTCATTCGCAAATAGGGTGTAAGATCAACCACAAGGCATGCTTACGCGATGGACAGTTGAGGAGCGACGCTTTTCTCTGTTCCAAACGGCAGCGTGATGTTTCGATCTTATAAAATTTTGTTCAAGAATTGGAATTGGTGGAACCGACCGTACACTTAGCGTCATTTCGAAATTCTGAATAGGTACGAGAACGTTTGGACAGAAAACAAGAACGTAAGATTTGTAGTGTAGCTCCTTTATTGACTGAAGGCGAAATTTCACCTCCTATTCATATCTGGTGCATTTGAAGAGTTGGTAAACGGGATCATCCTTTGGTACACCATACATCCTGTAAAATAGGCAACCTGAATCCCAGTGGAAGCAGCCACATCCTGGTCCACCACAGGATTCTACGCAACTGGTTATTCCAGGAAATGAGTTGCCAATCATTAACTCAGGCAGCAGGCTCGTTTCATTTATGTCTCCACACTTGTTACCAATGCACGAGCCCATGGATGAGCATCTTTTACTGTCGACAACTTTCTGAAGCACATTCCTAGTATGGAGTAAGGATTCTCGGTTGCACAGCAATCTTAGTCCTTCAAAACGGAGTCTTGCCTTCATTATTGTGGAAAGCGTTGTTCCGAAACGCCAAACATGCCTCTTTTTTGAAAGGGTTTATCTCTACTACAGATGCGATTCAACAGTACATGTATTGTCTCCAGAGCAGTTTTTCGGTTGATATGGAAATATATCATCATCCTGACATGCCAGAGCTCCTGTGAATAATGCAAAAATAGCCAGTGCCTGCACAATTCTTGACGGGCGTTGTCGCTCTCCATTCCGAAAATCCTTCCGCGACTAATATCCAAAACAAGCAACTGTATCGTGAGAGGTGCTGCTCTGCGAATACCTTGCAACATAATGCGGAATGGTCGGCCGGTGGTGACCGGTACATAGCGTCATGTATAGCAAATGGTGATCACGAGGTATATATCACTCCTAAGTCTGCTATGACAGTCAGTCGATTGAGCAGGATGATTGTGCTGGGCATTTTGTTTCCACAACAGTCCAAGAATCTCCTGTACGTAGTTTCCAACGTGCTTCAAAGTCGTGGAGTACTTCTTCTGGTGGTAAATGTAAAATTTTATGAGCTGTGGCGTCTTTTCTATTGGACGGTAGTTGATGACTCGTATTCACTATTCACTATTCGTATTAACTTGCTTGTGGAGCGTGTAGATGAACTCCATATCTTCTGCATTCAAGTTGAGTAATCCATATTCTCAGAAAAAAAAACTAATGCTCTGCTTCCCTGTCTATTGGATTGCGCTCCACTGACGACTGACAGGACAGCCAACGCCAGTGCCATCTTCAGGTAAAGTGAAGTGGGCCTAGTTTCAGAGGAATGCTGTGATGTAAAGCAGTAAACTTCATTCTCTATTTGGCTCTGCTGTTCCGGACATCGGGCTATACTTCTTGGACGTTAGCGTTCATTACGCGACTTGAATTCTGATTTCAGATCTCTGGAGCTTGGAACTGTTTCAAAGCTCTCATCGTCTTGAGCAATTTCCAAGGGAACCAGCTGATTCACAGGGCGGCGAAGTGTCTTTTTATTGCAGTAGATCTCCACTTCCCTTACTGCGCTGTCGCTGCTCGGAATCAACTTGGAAATACGTGCTAGTTTCCAGAAATTCCTCTTCTGGTGGGAATCACTCAGGAGTACTACTTCGCCTTCTTTCACCTTCTTTATATTTCCCCTTCTGTCGTCTATGTTCCGTCGATGTTGCTCTCGGAGGGCGGTAAGGTACTGTGTTCTCCAAATCTCCCAGAAGTAATCTGGTAAGGCGTGAGATAACCGTGGGGCTCTTTCTGTTTGTAGACTGGTTTCTAGACGCACTTCTTCTGAGCCAGGTAAGTAAGTTGGTTCCTTAATTTCCTCCTCGGAGAACGTCAAAGGTAGGTAACATCCATCTCTTTCTGTACAGAGTCGATTGGACGCAGAGGCAGTATGCCGTCGCTAATATCGCTTTCTCGATAAGTACCCTCGTCATCCGGGCAGTTGATTAGGGCGGTCGTCAACGGGCCGCAGCGCGTGCCAGGAACTATTTGCTTTTTCCAGGACTAATTTAGTCATTTTTCCAACTTTTCACTGTTTTGGCTACTTTTTCCCAGATTAGCAGCTCCTTATCTTCACAAGGTGGAAAAAATGACTAAATTAGCCTGGAAAAGCAAATAGTTCCTGGCACGCGCTGCGGCCCGTTGACGACCGCCCTAATCAACTGCCCTGGATGACGAGGTTTAAGAGGCCTACTGTTGAGGCATCCTCTCGATCTCTATCAAGATCGTGTGAAGCTGCTCCATTGTTAGAATGCGCTTTCCAATTGCTTTGAATAATGCATTCTTGACTGATTTTATAAGGCGTTCGTAAAATCCTCCCTGCCAGGGTGAGTATGGTGTTATATGTCTCCATTCAATTAACTGGTTGCTCATTGTACGAGAAAGTTCCTCATTCTGTGGTGGCTTACGCAGCCACTGTTGTTTATAATTTGGCTTCCTAGGACAAAATTGGTGCGTTGTCACACGTTGCTGAATGCGGTTCGCCTTTCCGAGCGAGTCGGAGAGGAGCCGTGAGTTCTCTTTAGTGTCCCGTCTAAAGCAATTTCTGGGTGGAGGAGACGAATGGCACCGCACGTAAATGTGCACCCATTTACTGGGTTCACCAAGACAAGGTAGGACATTTGGTAGTTTGCTACTCCCCTAGTCCTTCGTACTGGGTCCTTCACGCGAGCGGTAACGCTTTTAATGGAGCGGATGACATATGCTAGGACTCTAAGAGATTTGGTCTTACTGTTATATCTCTTTAGATCCAGTATATCGTTGACACGCACTTCACTGGACTTGGAAGCATTGACTTGCAGTGAGGGCGCGGGATCTTCTTCAACTACGCCTATTTCTTGAGGAACAGAAGAAGCCTGATGCAAATCCATCGTTAAAAATATTTCTAAGTGGATATCCTGTTCACCACACGTGCGGCGAGAATTCCTTGGAGTTGAAATTCCCTCGTGTCCCTATGTCTGCCGGCGCCCCATTTGGTGTCGACATATGCAAATTTCACATCGACTCCAGAATCCATAAGGACTGTACGATTTCGCGTATTGCACGTACTCTATTTGTTACGTAAGGACCATTTTTGTCACGCTGAGGACTGTTCTGAAGCCACTTCAACACTATTTCTGAGTCAGTTAGGAATAGGACACTTGTAATACTTATTGATGACTTCAGGCTCAGAAAGGTGTTGAACGCTAGTCGCACCCCAATTGTTAAGGCGTTCATCTCCTTTTTGGGTATTGTAATTGAATGTTTATTGTCAGACAGCTTCGATTTTGCCATTAGAAAGCTCGAATTGTTGGAATCGAATCACTATGCTAGTAAGATAGGTGCATGCTGTCATTGCAATTGCACTAGCGTCCGAGTATGTTACTAGCGTATATGATCCACTCCCTCCTGTGTGCTCCTTCTCGGTAGGTCTTTTTTGAAACTCGACATGTCCCTGACGATCCAACTCCACTTTGTTTACGCTCTTCGCTCAGACGCTCATCCCAGTCGTAGTTACGCTTCCATAAAAGCTGCTGAAGTGTTTGGCTTCAACCAAGAGTGGAATAAACCGTCCAAACGCGTCATATACAGATGCAGTTTGCTGAGCGATAGCGCTCATTGACGAATTCGTCCTCATGCACATTTAAATGCAAGGAAAAATCGTCTGTGGTCGAGTTCCAAGCTCTTCCCAGCAATATGGGCGCTGCATTTGGGGAGCGGTTGGAGACCGCTAGTGCATCAATGACTTCAGGGTTGTTAGTTACAAACGCCCTAAATATTCATTTTGACGTCACTGAATAAGGACTTTGAAATTTCATGCTTCGCTACACCCTTGGCTGCCGTGTTTACCCCAATGATCAGGTTATCGACATACAGATTTGTTGCGATTTCATTGGCCAGTGCTTTATCCTCCACATAGTTGTTCAGATGGTAGTGGATTGTTGCACTCAGCAGAAATGGTGAAGCGTTGATGCCAAAGGTTACTCTCTTGAACCGGTAGGTAATCACGTTATCATCTGTCAACGGCTTTGTGATATCCCTAATCCATAAACATCTGGTGAAGTCCTCTATCGGCTTCATGGTAGATGTACCTGCAGAAACGCTTTTTCGACATCCGAGAGCAGGACATACTTCGCTGTGCGGAAGCGTAGCAGTATTCCGTATAGTTTAGGAAGTATGGTAGGTCCTTGATGCACTACATCATTCAATGAGGGGCAATGCTTGTAGTGAGCTGACGCATCGAACACTACTCTGAATTTTGTAGTGTCTTTCAATGGAGTGATCACGGGTTGATGGGGAAGGTAATGCTTCGGTTCCCAGAACTCGTCCGTAGATTCGTCCACTTCTTCCTAGAATGCCTTTATTCAGCTGATCTTGGAACACTTCGTGGTACTGCTTGAGAACACCTGGTTCTGCTTCATATTTACGCAGCACACTTTTCAGGCGATGTAAGCGCCTAGTGTTCTGTTGTTTGGCAGGTGGCTATGCCTGCTCTTTAAATGGGATGCGAACGACGTAGCCATTATCGCGCTTCTCGATAGTGACTGTTGAAGTGTTCCAATACTTGCTCGTTGATGCGAGCTCTTTCTTCTCTCTGGACCGCCGTACTCTTGTTCTACCTCCTGGCTTTGCGTATTCCGAATGGTTTTTCCAGTACTCATTGTTTTTCTGTGATTCTACGAAATGTACGGATGAATAGTTTGCTTTTCCGTTTTCTTCACTTATGTATTTCACAGAAACCGCGTAATCCATTCGTGTGCGTACCAGTATGAGTCCGGATGGCATCTTGAAATGTGGAGCTTGGACCTTCATGAAGTCCCACTCTTCGTCCTCTTGAGATCCTTACTGATCGCAGTCAGTAAGGATCTCAAGAGGACGAAGAGTTCCGTCGTGTGGGTGCTGAGCTTTATGCGCTTTTTTTGAATGAACTGCAGGTCTTCCGCCCAAAGTTGTCCTCCAGTGGAATTTTTTTGCAAGACTATCATGAGTGTAGAGATGCTGTTCTCCTTCAATCCCATATGCACAGGCATGCATTAGAGCACTGAATTTCCTTCGCAGTTCCTGCTCCAAAGGCCCTGAGTTTCATTGTGACAACACCGTGACAAGCTAGCTGAAGCCCTTCGGCTAGTCTATTAGCATCGGTGAAGCTACGATCTGCACCTGTATGCAGTAGGAACTAAAGCTCAGAGGCTTTTCGTTTTTGGATGTAAAGTACGCGGAGATCGTATAAGGAGAAATCGAAATGACGCTAAGTGTACGGTCGGTTCCACCAATTCCAGTTCTTGAACAAAATTTTATAAGATCGAAACATCACGCTGCCGTTTGGAACAGAGAAAGCGTCGTCCCCTCAACTGTCGGATCGAGTAAGCTGCTTGTGGTGCAGTGCACTCTACACCCTATTTGCGAATGAACACCGGCTGAATCTCAAGTCATGTGTAGGTGTGAAGAAGACGACACCGAGAAAACCTTCATGAGCATAGAAATGTACTACCACTCATTCGTCTACAAATGCATTTTTTCAGAGCATC